CTTGAAAAGTTATGCGGAATAAAAAAAAATTCATGACATTCGGATTTTGGAGCACAAAGTTATGGCCGCCCAAAGTTTGACGAAATAAAAAAAAAATGGTCGTTCGGGGTGGCAAATGACGTTTTTTCGAGACGAAGACGGAACCCGACTGTTTGAGACTTGCAAAATCTCAAAAACTTATTCGGATTCAAAAAATGGAGGCCACAAACTTTTTGAGATCTTGCAAGCCGCAAACCTCCGGGTCTCGCCTTTCGTCAAACTTTGGGCGGCCATAACTTTGTGCTCTAAACTCCGAAAGTTATGAACTTTTTTTTATTCCCCATAACTTTGCAAGATCTACAACTTTTAATATAATCATAATTTCAAAATGTACATGGATTTCTGAAAAGTAAAGGTAAAATTATTCTCAAGGTCCCGTATATCCACAAATAGTTCCTGCTTTGAAAATTTCATCCTAGTAAAAGTTGTAGATCTTGAAAAGTTATGCGAAATGAAAAAAAATCGCTACAATCGGATACCCGAGTGCAAAGTTACGTTCGTTTGAAGTTTCGACCGAAGTTAGGAGTTGGTCGAAAAAGAAAAAAAAATTTGGACCAAACCGCTGGTTGGGGTGGCGGTTTGGGTGGCGGTTTTGGGCCAAACCGCCACCCCACCCAGCGGTTTGGTCCAATTTTTTTTTTTTTATAACCGCCCCCTAGGCCCGCGGTTTGGTACAAAACCGCGCCCCCGACAAGCGGTTTTCGACCAAACCGCTGGGTGGGGTGGCGGTTTTTGAAAAAGGGTGGTATTTTTGGAATTTTTTGGGGTTGGGTGGTATTTTTGGAATTTTTTTTTTAAACAGTGGTACTTTTGGATTTTTTCCGACAATATGGACCATAACCTATGGTGTCTAATCCTCATATACAGTCCTTAACCAATTTGAATTTGCCACGGGAATACTGTAGTGTCGCTTCATTTTTATGTCAAGCACCCTCTAACGCAACACAACAAGTACGGTGGTTGATTAACATATGTGATAACGACGGCAATGATTGCAACTACAGGCAACTTTCTGTGGCGTGGATATCAGCTCGTGTTTCATGCTTCTAATGTAACCATTTTCACGGTGTACATTAAATTATTGAAGAGGGGTCTAATCAAACAAAGTTTATTTCAACGATTGTCATGCTGATCCTAATTAGTTACGTTATTGCTTTCGAAAACATTCAATTTAATATGTTGTGGGATTCTGAAAGAATTCGTGATTGATGTGGTTTTTCTCGTTTGTTGTAAATAGGTGTCTATGATACGAATGACAATAGTGTATGCAGTGGCGGAGCCAGAAAATTGGCCAAGGGGGTGTCTTTATCATATCATAAAAAATCACCTATACAATATAAAAGTCAACTTCAAATGAACAAAAAGTCAACAACGCAATACTGTAAATTCTTACGATTACATTAAAATAGTTTTACGTACACCGGTTACAACGTCAAACAAATAAGTTCAGTACATACAAGTCAAGACTTCCATTCATCAAATATTACAAATTAGAACTTAGAAGTACCTTGGAATTGATTTTGTGAAACAAACAAGTGAACCTCAATTGGTACTTCTTCAATTTCAGCTTTGTTTAAACAAAAGAAGAAATTTCTCTGTTGTAGAGCTACAAAAGAAATGAGCGAGTTTAAACAAAAGATAACAATTTATTACTATAAATATACGAAAGTGCATTGAATAACAAAACTCACTCGGTTGAGATGGTAAGAAATTCTTCTTGCAACTGAATGGTCACTGGTTCGAATTTGTATATACCCATACTCGGAATTTTTTTCTCCAAACCCAAGGGGGGTGCAAGCACCCCACTCCTCTCCATGTGGCTCTGCCACTGAGTGTATGGTCATAGCATATATCTCGATAATCATAAGTTGTCCTTTGAGGCTGTGACACGTCATATTTTTGCATCAGAGAGTTGGTCAAGACGGGTCGACTCATATAGTTCTACACATATGTATTTCAAAGGAAACCCGATAAAGGTCCTATTTTTTTATTAAAAAGTTGATAATCAACCATCGGCCTATAAAATCATGACTGTGAAATGATAAATGAAGTTGAATTACTAAAAAATGGAGAGTTCAAACAATACAGTAAAATGTGCATTTCTATGCAAAAGCGGAAACATGAGTTAAAGCTTAAAATGTAAGAATATAGCATAAAAGCTTAAGTTTTTATGTATCATCTGATTAGATTTCATCGAAAAAAATTGACTCATTTAAAGAGGTTACTACTCATGCGAAAAGTATAATTTAACAAATTTTTATAGTACGTTAAATTATAATACAAAAACAAAAAGTTCATGATTCTGATCTAGTTTATGGCCAGTTAGAACTAGAAGGCGCTCTGGTGGGATTCTCGCGGACAGAAAAATATTGCAATCATTTTGATAATGATCGAGTGACATTATTTCTCCACAACATTTTCTTACATTTATAATTACAAACAAAAATGTGACTTTTTGAATGAGTAATCAATTAATGTAGCCAACCATAGACTACAAGTCTAAGTTCCACAATAACAAAACTACAAGTCATAAGCAAGATTAATATTTCAAATCTTAGAAATTAAAGTATATAAAAGGTTCTAAATAATAATGAAACTACATTGGTGCATTAATTTCAACATTTGCATCCAAGTATCCATCATCTCGACTCCTTCATCACTCCCATTAACTCTAGCTACAACCATATCCATGGTCACTATCCTCTCTTATAAATTATAATACCGTCTCGGTATACTTTAATCTCTGAATCCTCTTCACATTAAAGGAAATTTTAGATGACACTTCATACAGGGAAGGATTCGAATGTCAAACGAAGGAATTATGACTCGCACAGTGGAGTTGCTACTAGAATTGTGCACAAACACGTTTTGACATATTTAACGCTTTTGGCCACACTTTTCACAATTTTTGTACAAAAGACGTTTTGCATAGAAACTTGCTCATTTTGGTGAGTCTAAAACATAAAAAAAAAAGTATGTTTTCACTACAAGGCTCGTTTTTACTACATTGATCTCACCTAATTTAAAGTTTATTAGTTAATATATGATGTAACAAAAATAAAAAATTACATATAATTTGAGTAAATTACACATAATTTTAAAAAAGCAGGTCACTAGTGGGATTAACCAAGGTGAAACAGATATAATTGCATCCGTAAAGCTGAAACTATATATAATTTTCTACTTTACAAACAATATTTATAAAGTAATATAGGCTTCATGATCATGATTAGTAGATACTTCATGTGATAAGTATATCAATGAATGAATTTTTTTTTTATGTATATTGATATATTCTGTTTAATTTGTACTCGGCCATTTGACTGTTTCCATACTAAATTTATATACAATATGTATAACACATTTTTATATTGACATGAAATGAAATAAATTGATATAATTTGAACATTATTTAGACATTATTAATTTCATATATTGTTACTATTGAATATTGATAGACGTATTATTAGTTCAATGATAAAGTAAAATATCCATTCATGTTTTGTATGTAACTTACCAGCAACACGTTTTACGACATTTTTACTATGTTCATAGTTTTGTTACAGCTCACGGTCATCTTGGGCTCGGCGAAGCAACGGGCTATAGCAACAGGCCCAGTACACACCCATGCCAAAACGTGTGATTCCAGAGCTTTACAGTTTACACAACCACAATACACAAATTTTTTTTTTTTTTTTTTGACAACACCACAATACACAATTGGTACGTACTTTAGCATCGTCCACTAGATGAGACATTTTTTTGGAACGTTGATGGGTCGTCTCATTAATACGAAACACAGTGTACATGGTTGAAACAACAATGAAAGGAAGGAAAAGGCCCACTGAAAAAGAAATCTAAACTAAACTTTACATTGGCCCAACACCCAAACCAAGGCCCAAGACCTGATCCGAACAAGTGGATCCCGAAAGCCTAATCTAGAAACCCTACATCAGTTGACCAAGCATTGCCTGGTGGCCACCGAAAGCATCCCCTATCTCCAAAAACACGCCGCACCAACTCCTGCCAACATGAGACGTCCTTCGCCGGGGAAGAATCACCAGAAAGGACAACACATCGCCGACGAGAGGACAACGGCCGCAAGAAAGGACATAGGGAACCAAACTCAGAGCCTCTCCAAGATCAACCTGCAACAACAGACAAACCAGAGGAGAACCCCCTGAACAAGGACAGAACCGTGGCTCCTCAGACCCACAGATCTGAGCAAATCGGTCAAGAACCCACCAAAAAATGCCTTCCCTGCTCTCAAGCTCCCCAAAAGTCTATCCTAGAACACAATGGCCCATGCATCTCCCAAATCATCCCCAGCTATGGATGAAGTGAATGGAGGTAGATAGAAAAAATAGAGAGGAGAAAGCGAACCGAAAATCGGCACCCTCAAACACCTACCCGGAGATCATCCACACAAGATCTGGAAATCAGCAAGGTGGGAGCAAAATACATCTCAACAAGGAGGGAGAAAAGTCATCATCTATGGGAAGGAAGAAAACCGGAAAGGGGAGGAACAAGCAAGAAACAGCAAGGAAAATGAAAAGGAAGACCACAATCAAAGGGAAGAAGAGAACAACCTAATATAAGAAAGGAGAAAGGGACTTGATTTTTTGAGGGCCACCGCCGGATCCAGGGGAAACCAACGGCAGCCCCATGAGATTCAAAAACTTTGGTCTCTGGAGAGAAGGGAGAGAAAAGAGAAAGTTAGAGAGAGGAAAAGGGTGTCTATACTTGGTCTTGCCTCATTTTCCATCAGATGAGACATACTGATGCAAGTAATATTTACTTCAGCACCGGGCACGAGTTGACGTCGTCATGTCATATGCCATCGTTTCATAAGATTGCCCCTCCCAAATCGCTGTGTACATCTCCAGGAAACGATGGGGAAAAGAGAGGGAAATCTGTAGGAGCTAGGAACTACCACAGGTTAACTAGGAATCCAATAGAACCCAGCCCCACCAAAAGGCCTTAAATTTAGAGAACACCACATTACCAAACAGAGAAACAATCAAAGAAAGGAGAATATTACTGCTTCAACGTCCATTAACAACAAATACATCATAATTAGAAGAAAAGAATATACACTTCCTTTTTTCCCCATAAAACAAACAGCAAGAAAATTAAGATCGACAAGATATGAGCAACACAAAGCATGCCAGCCGGACCAACAAACGACTCGTCGCTACCAAAGAGACAGTCGCCGTCACATTCCCACCGGCCACTCCACAAAACCGCCATTTAAGGCTGCTGCTGCTCAAACCAAAACATATACTTCCTTCCTTCTTCTCCATCCTTTTCACAATGTAGTGTATACGTACGTACGTAGTATGTCAGCGTATTCTCTTCTATATAATATCATTTCCTTCTTTCCCCCCCATTTTCACCAAATTTTTTCTAACAAAGAAAACAATTTACTCATAGCACTTTGCTGTCGATAGAGCACTTGACTTTCTTCCACATCACCAGTGACTTGAGAAACTCCATTACCTACACAATACGAGTGACAAGAGGTTAATATTTGACAAGGGCGCCATTCGTGTTCTTCTGATTTACAGAGTCCTATAGTACGACGATAGTACCTCAGATGGATCTCTCAGGGAGTAATATGCATTGCTTTCCTTGGGCACAGATGACACCAATATCCCATACCCGCACTTCCTGTCCCTCAACACCTGTGCGTGCAAATACAGAAGCAGCAGTTCAGTGTAATTCATCCACCAAGATTTTGCAGGCCTTTCTTTCCTTGAGCTACAAGATTTTTCCAGTCATTACCTTAAATGCATCTTCATCGGTCCGGTCATCCCCGATGTAAATCGGAAGAACATCATCGCAATTGCTCAGGCCTGGCCAAAAACAAATGGTCAGTCAGGGTTGTCTTTAGTTACATGAAGGAGAAACTAAAATCCGGAGTATACATCTGTGAATACAAGTTGGTCAGGAGTTGAGAGGTTACCAAGGGATTCAAGAAGAAATGTCACAGCCTTTCCCTTATCCCAGTCGATTACAGGCCGCACCTCTAGAACCTAATCAAAAGCCAAAAGCCACAAACATTGTTTTACACTTCTTAGAAGAAGAAGAAGAAGAAGAAGAAGAAGAAGAAGAAGGGGGGAAAAAAACAAATCAAATGTAAACCAGACACATCACAGGAAAGAAGACGAATTCAGGGATTCACCTTTCTTCCGTGTGTCAGCCGTAGCTTCGGATAGTTTTTAATGACTTCGTCTACAGAGCGCGCCACCACATCCCAATACTGAGTATAAAAATACGTTGGAACTTTCAGTTAGAACGGTCCAGCCAAACAGTAAGTACACAAATAAAGGTTAAACTAACAAAGTTTATGACTAGATGTTAAATTAAAAAAGATGGTACCTTGTCATCTACATTGCGGTAATGTACGGAGACGCAGAATTTGTTGTTTTCAACTTTAGCACCTTTTATGTCTCTAGTGCTCTCCACAAGGGAATTGAACACCTGTCCAATTCGAATACAATGAAATAGGCTTAACTAAACCTGGACCTGGGGGACAGCTAATTGCTATCTTCATAAATAGCAAGTACATGCTACATACCTCATCAATCATGGGTAGAAATTCACTAGCAGGCTGGAACAAATTAACTTCTTTGCCCTGCATAGATGAACCGAGTTTATAAATATGTATAGCTCCCACACATTTGGAAATGGAAAAAAGCAGGAAGCTACACAACGTTGTTCCTTACCCGCTTGCAAGTGGACCGTATAGTATTTGCATGGTTAGCAGTTACAGATTCTCTAACGGGACTCATTATGTCCATCCCATGACTACCGGCATAGTATAGTTCAGTTAGACCTACAAACTCGTAGACCTAAAACAAAGAGAAACCCACTTGAGAAACATAGAACCAAGTGTCGTATCAAATCTGTGAGAACTCTACAGAATGGTCACCTTGTCACGACTTCTTCCACTAATTATGGCTGTTGGAAAATGTTTCGCAACCTTTTTGACAGCAGATCGCATCTGGAAAAAAGGATCACCAGCACACCAAATAATCAGCAAACCCAATTTACAACAAACTATAAAGACCGGCAACTTCAGCATTCTGAAAATGTATAGTCTATTCTTACATTGTTAGACATGAAGGCGCAGTCCGGGTTGTCAACAATGGGTGAAAGGGTCCCATCGTAATCAAGAAACAATGCTATCCTTTTCCCTCTTGCAAAGTTTGCAATTTGCTCAAATGATGCTAGAGCTGACGGATATTTAAGCTGATCATATTGGGAAAAGGGTTATGCAGCAAGTTCCAGTTAGTCACAGTCAAAATTGTTAAAGATAAAGGAACAAAAACCTAAAAGCCACAACTTACCAGCCAGTTTGAGTACCCACTATCATCGGGTGATGTATGATCATTGTTCTGTTCCTTGATTACCCTCTTAGGAGGAGGTGACGATGCTTTCATAGCATCCAGCCAGCTGCTGGAGCGTACATCGTCCAGTATTCCAGCTTTCTTTCTTGGAACAGTTAGTAACAGATTTGGCGAGAATGCTGCTCCAGAGGCGGTGGTGTATGGTAACAAGGAAGAATGCAACATTGACTTGGCTATGGGTGCAGAATCAGTGAGAACTGGAGAAGCGTGATTTGATTTGAGGTCCATTTCGCTAGGATCCTTGAGCCCGGCTTTGGAGTATGTAGATCAAATAAGCCAACAGTTCCAACACCCTTGGAATTGGACAAAAAAACTATTTCTTGACAGTTGAAAATTACTTCACCCCACCGTCTTGTCAATGAAAAACCACCTCTTCAAGGATTTCTTATCACAGATGCTCGGCAAGCAGTCCATCAATGGCAGACCTCTAGTACACTGACAAACAGCAAGGCTAGTAAGATACAATAAAATTCAATGCACCAAAACAAGTAAACAGGTTCCAGGTATTCAGAAGTTACCTAAATGGTCTCATTTCCTTAAGCGTATATCAGTTCAGAGGAAAAACTTCTTAGAGAATAATATGGAAGATGATGTGTGATTCCACAATTCAGGTTTCCTTAAAATCCTCAAGCTTCTGCAATGATTACAAAACAACAAAATGATTCAAGGCTCTAACAAGTATTAACAAAGGAATTGATAGTCCACAAAGAACAGAAAATAAAAATCATAGAGTTGGGGAAAAACAAAAAGGATGGAAAGAGTCTGTCAAAAGACGACAACAAGGCTTCATAAAGAATGTTAAAGCATGCAAGTTGAATATCATTGCAGCGGAAGAACAAATTGATCCACTAGTCCTTCAATTGACTTTTCCTAGCCCTTTCTGCTTTTCTTGCTCAGTTGTAATTACAACGATGGAATAGTCATTTTCAGGGAAAAGCAAAACTTTAGGGAAAAACTGTATGCTCCATTTCCAAATTTCCCATGCACCAGTCTTGACTCTCGCCTACTTGAGCTTTACCAGCCTCAATACAAAAAGGAAATCCTTCCTGTAAATCTGCCCTCTTATTTCTCCACTCTTTCACTGGAGTTACTAAAAATAAAGCTTAAGCAACCGGTACACTCATCACTCTTTGGCCGTCAAAAAGCAGCGTTGATGAAAAAGCAGGTAAATTATTGTTCACAAAGATGCTTGTAGGGTACAGTAGAGAATCCATAGACCCCATACCAACCAAACCAACTCCAAAGGGTATACAAATATAGAAAAATATGATGAAATATGCATCTTGTGCTAAATGAGTAACCACAAAACGAACAGTCCATGAGAGAATAGAATCATACATACACAGAGATTGTGAATCTGCCACAGCTTAGAAAGGAAAGAACGAGCAACAAAAATCATACACATATTGAAGAAACAGTGACCGGCTTTGAAACTAGGCCCACAAATTGGATGTCTAGTAGAGAAATCATTGAAAATTTTCATGGTTTATTTACATAAAAAGCTCTGGAGCCCCACAGCAGCGGGATGCTGGCATACCATATGCAACCACACAAGACGGGCCTACCATGATGAGTATGGGAATCATTTACGAACATGGACCCAATGCCTAAAAATGGATTCACAGATGATATGAATCATATTGAATGCAGAAAAAAAAAAATCTCAAGTACGCCAAGAAATCTCCCATGTTTTTGTTACCATCACACATTCTACCGTGCTCAACAACTCCTTATTTTTCAATGGTGGAAATGAAGAGAGAACAAAAAGAACATTATTGTCAAGGGGCATGCTTTCCATCGAGCTCAAGTTATTGAAATGTCTTCACGAAACTCCACCAAATAGCAGGTAGTGGATTTGGTCCACGTCAAGATTCCACAATGACTTGTGGAAATTGACATATGACCATAACTTAAGTTATGTAGGGTAGAGTAATTGACCAAAATTAATGGCAATTATACCATGAACCCACCGTAATTCGATCTAAGGAAAAGGAATCAATGGTATAAACCAAATCATGGCATAATCAACCAATAATAACAGCTCCAGGCCAGGAACGAGAAATACAATAAGCGTCAAAGTCGAAGTAGCTATCTGGCTTTTCACGGTTGGGAAAAGCTGAAAGAGATTGAAATAAAATAAAAACGGAAAGGGGAGAAGAAGAAGAAGAAACCGCCAAACTTAATTCCCAGGGACTTAATTAACAATCGATCAAATAGAAAAAAGAAATAAAAAACCGTACATTGAATCTTTAACTGCAGGAAGGGGGGAAAAGTAAAGACGCCATGAACATGGGGAGAGGGCTCAGCCGCCATGAAACGCGTATTCAGACAGGCAGTATCAATAATGGAGGAAACGGAATCCCAACCGAGAGCAAACCGAACCTTTAAAGAAATAAAGAATAACGCACCTAAACCGAGAGGCGAGAATTCGGAGCCCGCCGGCGACAGTAAGACGACAGAGCGCAGCCGGAATGCAGGTGTACCTTCAATAACAAAGAAACGGCGGGAATCAATAAATCACGCAAACGGAGAAAGTCAAAACAACGGCGCTACTCGGAATCGTTGAAAAATGTAACAAACAGAAAGTACGCGCAGGAACGAACAGGAAAATCAAACTTGGCGAGCTCCGCCAAGAAGACTCCACCTCCGCCGACAAATGCCGGAGCGGAATAGAAAACCACGAACAAAATCGGCGAAACGGTACCTGAGCCGAACGGAAGCGAGTAAGAAGAGAATGTGTCGGTGGTGGTGGCAGCAGCAGAGCGAGCTTCTCTTCAGCTGCAGGGGCCAGGGAGAGGGAAATGGAAACCCTAGAATCGGCAGAGAATCAAGGCGGGGAGGAAAAAAAAGTGAGAGAGAAAGGATTCTTCGTTGCGTTTAGTTATAGAGAGAATCGATGCAGGAACCCGAAAAGCGAGAGAGAAAGTAAGAAAGAAAGCGGAAAAAGAGAGAGAGAGAGAGAGAGAGAGGGCTTTATTATCAAAAAGCTGCAATATATTTATAGAATGAAATAACGGGGTTGGTTTCGGTTTGTTTTTTTTTTTTGGTGGAATGGTTTCGGTTTGTTGAAACGGGAAACACTGCGCTTTGATTAATAATTAATATTGTATATGTATATTAATAATAATAACTGCTGTTGCCCCCAACATTAACTACGCCTCGCGTGATCATCACGCGCAAATTAGTGACCGCGTAAATAGCAAAAAAAAACTGAATATGCGCGTCGGGAGGTGGGGGATGGGAGTTTGTTTTCTCTCTATTCTGGTTTGTTGGGAAACTGGGAGAAACTAAATAAAAAAGAAAAAACGAGAGAAAGGTTCAGTTATTTGTAATTGGTTGGATTAATTAGGAGGAAAAACGGCAAAAGAACGAGACACGTGGCTGTGGAGACTTCAAACCAGAGGGGTGACAACTGACACGTGTGAGTGAGTCAGGTCTGATGCGGCCACGTTGGAGGAGTGGGTCCCGGGGTAGGGGGCGAGCAACGTGTCGTCGCTTTCAAGTGAGCAAAGGGCGAGAGGTGGTGGCGGTGACCGGCGGTGACGGTGGGTTGGTGGATATAAATAGGCGAGGGGGGATGGAACAGGAATTGCATTGGGGGAAAGGGGGTGTCCCACGTGGCAGGAGTCGGGGTACGGCAAGGGAGTTTGTGGCCGTTGGATACGGTGATGTGGCGGTGGATGGAGGGTTGTGAGGTCCTTAGTATGGGACTGATGAATCGACGGTGTCCTTGGCTAGGTCACGGCGTAGTTCCACGTGGCTGAGGGATGGGGTGTTTTACCTTTCTAACTTTTTTTACCTCGGGAAATGTCGTTTGGGAAACGAACAAAGGGGAAGAGAGAAGGTAACAAGTTAAAAATTAAAATATGTACCTCCGAACAGTAAAAAAGGGGGGAAAGACTAACGAGGGTAGAAAGTTTGGTTTTGGACAGGAAGAGAAGGTAGGAAATTATTAAAATAAATAATTAATAAGGGAATAAAGAAGCGGGTCCTTGACCTAGACCGTGGCTGGCTGGCTGGCTGGTCGGGCCTTTTTTCACCTTCCAACCGTGCGGGCTGAGCTGGTGATAGTTGGCTCAATTAGGCCCACCTAATGCATTTGTTTGTTTCTCTGTTTTATTTTTTCTTCTAAATACTATCAAGAAAAAGTAGGATTCACAGGCAATTAAATTTGTATGATAAAATTTATCAAAAAAAAAAAAAAATTGTATGATAAAAAAATTTGAGGTTTTTATTATGTATTTTCACAAACCAAAATTTGCCTCTTCTTCCTCTTAGTTGTTGATGGTCCCAACTAGTTAATTTAGTAGGCTGCTAAGGTCAATATGTCAATAAAAATTAGGTAGAACCACCTCAAACTTTACATACTCAATTGTACGAAGAAATTACCTTTTTATTTTGACTTGACTATCCAAAGTAAGAGAAGAATATTATCAACGCGAATAGTAGCATCAATTCTCGTGAATCGTGATAATGGGACTTGGTAGAACTTAATTGTCTCACTCTTACTTTATTTCAAATTTTGCTCGCATTTCTCTCTAACTTTCTCCTCGGCTGTGAAACTCTCCAAGGGTTGTCGCCGACATCTCTAAATGATCGACGGTAGCCCGACCTTCTTTCCTTCTTCATGCTTCCCTTTTCAGCTTCCTTGCTTCTGTTTTCATGTTTTTCACTATGTTTTTCCAGTTTTTTAGCTTTCCCAGCCATTTTTGGCATTTCGCTCCCCAGTTCTAGGGTTTATTGTCTGGGATTTTCTCTTCTTGGGGGTTGCATTATGCATCTTGGGTCTTCTCTCATGATGGTGGGTTTTATCAGCTTGTGTGGTGAATCGATTCACTGGTTTTCCCTTTCGTTCTTCCCAGGTGTTTTGTCTTGCATCTTGGTGGGCGACGGAGGATGGATTGTTGTGTCTAGCGCGAATGCTCGTGGTTTCAGATCTTTAATATGGGGATTTGTTCTTCTGCTTTCCTTGACCAAGACTTGGTGCCTCATTTTCCCCTGCCTCTTCCGCTCGGAGCAGGGGCGGATACATGGGCCTCTAGGGGTGTCCCGGGACACCCCTAAAATTTGGGAAAACGATTATCTAACCTCCGGTAGTAGTTTCGTATGGGTATACAAAATATAATTGGTAATTCGGAACACCCTAACATTTGAAAAAATGATTATCCTACTCTGGATAATAGTTTGCTTATGATTAACAAAATATAAGTGGTAGTCCGTGTTATTCCAACCTAGGACACTACTATTATCAAACATATTCTAATTATGTTGCTACTCATTTCTTATTCTATTTTAAACATCATGCAACTAGTAAAACGCTATTTCTTTATCTCAACTATTTTCAATACCTAATAATTAAACTACGTACACGCTACCCTTAATTTTGAATTGATTTTATGGTTACACGGCAAGTGTTGAAAGAGTCTTTTCTACTTTGAGCTACATTAAGAACAAGGTTAGAAATCAAATATGTGATAAGTTCGTGAAGTATTGTCTAGTAGGATATGTAGATTTTTTTGAACAGTGCAGACATGAAGTTTATTTATATTATTTTTTCAAAATATGAAAACACATCATGAATTTTAATAAAAAATTTATACAAGTATGATATTTTTAATATATGAATTATTTAATTTATTACTTAATTAAATTTAATTTTGGAAGAGGACACCCCTGTGAAAATTTTCTGAATCCGCCACTAGCTCGGAGCATTTCTATCCTCAACCCTGACCACCGTCATGTAATCCCTCACCCGTGATTCACTGTGTTGAGCGCATGGTTCAAAAAGGCAAGCTTAACCTTACGCTTAGGCACGCCTAGGCGTAAGGCAATGGCAAAACACCTCGCCTAGAGGTTTCGCGCCTAGTTAGATACTGGAACACGTCAATAGAGTTATACGACATATAAGTTTCTCCTAAACATTACTAGATAGAGCTAGGAAGTCAATATTAAAGGAGAAAATTAACATCACCTAAGAAATTAATTTTCTCTATCAATATTTTCAATAGCTCAAGAACTTTGTGAGCTATTGAGCTATGATTCTATGAATTTGTGAGCTATATTCTTGTCATTAAGTGTTGAGTAAATTATTAATCATTTTAACCGAAGTGAGGAAGTGTTGTAAATTATTATTTCATTCATCACGCAGTGCGAATAGCTATTTTTCTTCCAACGCCTAGGCACGCTTAGTATACGCCTAGGCGAGCTAGGCGCTAGGCAAACGTTCAACGTTCGCCTTACACCTAGCGCCTTTTTGAATCTCGGAACTTGAGCGTCTTCGAGCAACTCCCAGGAGGCGGCAAGTGACATTGTGTTCAATCGTCATGGACTCGGTCGGATCAGACGAGCTTGATTGTAAGAGAGCTTTCAGGGTTTACTATTTTTGGTTCAAGTGTTTCAGGTCCATTGTTGGGTGACTCTTTCTGTGTTATGTGCTCTTTTTTGTTGTATCTCTGAAGCACAGATTGATCAACCATGTACTTGAGTTTGTCTGTCCATGTTCTGATTTGGTTTACTTTGTTGATTCTCTTGTAATTGATTATTCAAAATGCAGTGCAAGTAATCCCTTTATAAAAAAAAAACTCTCCTGATAATGACTTCGATATTGAGTTCCCAGGATAAAGAGTTAAGCAAATTCAATGATGACTACACTGATCGAAGGTATCTCCAATAGAATCACGGTGTGCATCAATGAGAGTGGCACATGAGAAAGGGAAAGCGTAATAGGGAGTGAAGCACAAGGGCAAAAGGAAGAAGAGCAAAAACCAGATCGGGCCGTTGGTTGGTAACCGGATCTTCTTCTTCTTTATTATTGTTTGTTCACTTTGGTTCTCCTTTAATGCCGTATGTTTTGGTGTTAATACGGCAAGTTAAAGCTTAATCACTTTTCCCGCTCTTCCCGACTTTCTAGAATTAGTGTACTACAAAGTCATTAATCTGGTTTTATTTATAGTTTGGTTTAGATTCTGAGGTTGATTGATTGGTCTGATGGTCTCTCTCTTTCTATGTTTCACATGTCAATCATCCTCTAGTGACGGGGAAATGAAATCCTAGTTAAATTCCCATTTTACTTGGAGAACAATTAATCATATCTTATAGCACGATCAAAGAAAAATTAGCATCTTTAGAGCATTCATATTAGTATTGCATTTTTAATTGCAAGTTAACATAACATGGATTTTTTGTAATTGCAAAACCAATTGCATAAATTCATTGCATATTTCCAAACTTGCAACAAATGCAATTGTATATGAAAGCTAAAATGGCATAAAAATAATTTTTTTTTATTTTCTGTTTCATTTTACTTAATTTTTTTATAATTTTAAAATAATATTTTACTACACTATACAATTGCAAGTGTATTGCACCGACGTAGATACAATTACATTAATATGAAATGCATCACAAAAACATTGATGTAGCAAATGAAACCTCATGTACAATTAATTCTGCAATTAGGCTCATAAAAACGATAGCAATAGAAACTAACTAACGGCAATTAGACATTGCCAATGCAGCGCGGTCCATGTTAATCAACTCATTCTGGTGACGGGTGCATTACTGTTTAGTGACGATTGTAATTAACAAAATTATAATACAGTTTCCTAACCTCGTTTTCCCCATTAACATAAATTAATCGTTCCTTTTCATTCCACGTTCAAAAAGATACAGTTGGTTGGCATAATGGCGCTCAGTATGTTCTTTTTTTATTGCTCATGGAAAATTATGTGTGAATAGTTAGTGGCCATAAGTAAAGAAAGATTGTTATTAGGACTTAAGAGTATACATGATCGGACCACACAACTCACATGCAACATTAATGAATTTAACTCTAATTAGCACTCACCTTCATATAAACCAACAAGAAATTGTAATAGCATTATTAATATTTTATTAAAGTAATCAACTATTAGTATTTTCTATGAAGAGGTGGTGAGAAAGGTGTCAAAAGTTTGACATGGCAATGACAAGGAACAACAAAGGGAGGCGTA